ATTTGTAGGAAATAAATATATATGAAATTCAATACTCAAATTTATTATTACATTTATTATTACTTTTAAAGTTGTTATTTATAGCCGCTGTTTCCTGTAATATAATTAATTGAAATCCATTATTAATTAATTCCTTCCAGTGAGATCTCGATAAATGCAATGCTGTATTTTTAACTGCTGCGAAATCAATGATAATATATTGATTTCGTTTAAAAGAATAAGTTTCAAAAATATAAGAAGATCTTAACAGACTATACAATCTCATTCTTCATCAATTTTCAAATGGATTTGTAATGTATTTGAATAGATTCGTAATTTTTGACTAAATGCGAAAAATTGATACAAATTGTTTATAGAGGATCCTTAAGTGAAATGCGGCTCGTTAAATATAGAATGTTCCATATAATCGGTAAGATTTACGTTTCTCTTGAAACGATAAATACATGATTGCGAAAGACGAGGGTGTTCATCCTCCGCACATCTTAACCTTAGATATGTGGCATAATAATTCCTTATCTCTATTACTGTAAACCAGGCCCTACATATATATAGCTTCAGTGAACAAATATAAATAGTTCATCTTTTTATTTCAGTAATGTGATCTATAAACGTACAATTTAATTTTATCTTGATATGCATTATCTATATGTGTGTACGTATGTTATGTTAATCATGCGAATTTAATGTTGGAAGCTATAAATAATATTTATAAAGAATAAGATTCAATTTGCAAATCGAAGTTGCTGATGATGAAGATTAAATGTTTAATTCATCGATCCAAGCTTTTCGTGATTTGTCTTCATAAAAATAATTAAAAATTTATTATTGCAAAATAACGTAATTTAATTATTCTTTTTTTGAAGAGGCAAAATTTGCCAAATCTTTCACAGTTCAGAAGTAAATTAATTGCGATGATCAAAATTAAAATTTTTAAAAAGATTGTAATAATTCTTGTTTATATATAAGGTGCGGAAAAAGTTTCGGAAATATCTAAATAACAAAGCATTTTTTATATCAAAATACTGTAATATTCATAATTTGGAAAGTCCTGAACGAAAACGTACTTAATTAAAATGTTTTAAAAAGCTCTCAAAATAAACTACAAGAATATGTAATGAAAAATAAAGGTTTTCATTACAAAATTTCTACGCGATCTTGACAACGCTATTCAAGATCACACTAAGCTTGCTGTGATGCGTCTTTTAAAATCTTACAACTTTTGTATGAAACATTTTTCTCAAAAATGCTTTGTTATCGAGATATTTCAGATATTTCTTTTTCCCCATTCTGTATATGAAAATATTTGTCTTGATTTAAGGCTAATTATTTTTTCTGTACATGTGTTTCAACGTTGAATTTTCTTCTTAACGACCTTTCTTAGCCTGGCAAGCGACTACTGCTTGGCAGGATCTTGTAGGCAGCTTCCGTTCGCCGGATGGTCTAGCAGACTGTCCAAACAATGACTGACGAAGGCAAGAGTGTGAATGCTGCATGTAGATGGTGTCGTGCGTGCGACAACACATATGCGTAAGGTTTAACTAAGACGAAATGCTCCTTTTCCTATCATCTATGGACTATCGCACGAACATTTGGAGAGGAAACTTGGTTGAAGACGTGGAATTCTCACATCTCCAGCGAGACGAAGAGAGATGTTGGAGAGAATTTTTATCTATCCACACACACACACATACACCACGCGCGCGCGCGCACACACACATATACATACATGACACGCGCGTGGGATCCTATCTTTCGAAGTTCCGTCATGTCCGTCACGTTCGCTCGCAATAACGCGATCATCGGTGTATTCCTGCGATCTCGTTCAATTCGACACGTAGGATATACAACGTCGATGCAATTTTTCGCCGAGACAATACGATTGATTTGGAGTTTCGTTCGCCTCCCGCGGATGATTAGGGTCGAGAGACGCGAAAGAGACAACAATTTCCTCGCCGCGAACATGATCGCGTGGCTTCGCCACGCGAGTCTCTCGCGGGTCTCTCGTAGGGGGGAAAAAACTGCTTCGAATTTTTATTAATTGCTGAAGTAAGGTGGATAAATAATAAACTTGTGTCGCGCCGTATTTCTTTTTTTAAATCTGCCGATTTGACAGGATCAATTCCGGTTGGCGGCCGGGGTGTCGGCTTACCGCGCGCGTGTGCCAGGCGTGCGAATACTTACACGCGCGCGTCACGATCGGCGATGCGTGTCCACGCGATGGCCGATGACCACGCAGCGCGGTTGAGACATCTCACGCTTACGCGCGCGCACGCGGACGGATACCGTTCGTTGAGCGCATCGTCGGCGGCGACAGACACGTAGGCACACTTGCCGCGATATTATCGGCCGCCTTTACGTGCCACACGTGCACGGACACGCTGGAGCCCGTCGCGGCTCGCGGGTATGCGTGGCGGCTCTCTCTCGCACGAGAAGGACTCGCCGCCGAGCTTTTTGCTCGATCAACTCGAACGATTCCGCTGTTTCAACAGCGAGAGATATAACGTTCGCCATCGAGCACCGAGCTCGCTGTTTCGGACCCACGCGCAAATTTTGCGGAATGTCGAAGTTGTCATGCGATCGAAAACTTCTATTTCGTAACGAGCGACTTTACGTCCTCTCACGAAGCTCCGTGATCTGTCGTCAAATTCAAAAACTGATTTTCTTTAATCTCCGCTGCGTTCAACCTGATAAATTATATCTAATTTAAATTTGGAATTTTTTTGTAAATTAAAGAAGCCATCGGACAAAGGTTTCTCTCATGGTGCGAATCATCTAAATCAGCTCGCGATTGAAATTTATTGAGCTGTCGTCTCCCCGAACACAGCGTCTAATGCGTATAAATGGATGGTCTATGAAGATCTTATCTGTGGACATATGCTTTTACGCATCAGTGAAGTACCAGAAAGTTTTAGACATGAAGAAAGAGAAATAAAAATAATCGTTCTCCATTTTACATACGTACGCTGTATTTTTTTTTATCGTTAATTATGCGTAATTAAGCTTTATTTATTTTTAAAACTTTATTCTATGCAGAAAAGAGGCAGGAGTTTCAGAAACTCTGCATTCGTAGTTAAAAGTTTAACCCAATACTAAAACGAGATATAATAAATTCCAGATGTTACAAACATAATTATTTATTCTTCACAGGTAATACAAGTTTCTATGTAATAAAAATGTTATTATAATGAAAAATATGAAATTTTTATGATTTTTTTATTAATGTAGATCTAGTTTAAATTCAAGGATCAAATTTAACTTGTTAAAAAAAAATGTCTAATTTTCTAAAAACTTTCTAAATATTTTACATTATCGCAATTTATTCAAATATTATAATTCAAGTTCCTAAATTAGCTGGGATTTATGGGATTTATGGGAATAAATCCTATTTTGGTAATCATGCCATTTTCACTTTAGTAACGTTGGATTAAAAGCTCTCGTCGGTTTTCACACCATAAATACCAATCAATTTAGGCGGCATTGTTACGAGATTCCGGAGCGCGAGCTGTCGAGACGAGTGATCCTTTTCGCCCGCTATCCCGTAAATTGGGATGGCTGTTGATAGAGGAGGATCTGGTAAAGAGGAATACAGGTGTTTCTCTCGATGTCACGTGCTTTTATCCTTTTGTAAGGCAAACAGGTAGTCCCTGCATTACGGAGTCGGTATTATGGTAATGAAAGGCATCTGGCCGCGATAGTATTGAATGCAATCAGCCCGATAAATATTAAACCAGGCGCGAGAACTAGCACTTTCTCACTCGACACTCCAGTCAGTTCTACAACGCTTAATTCTATACACAGTGCACATGAAATTTCTTAGTACTCACGTGGAACAATAGTCTTTATATTAAAACTACCGAATCGCGCGGGGGGGGGGGAGAGGGTCTGTTCGGTACAGTAATTGCGATGGAATTACATCTCTGGTAGCTCTAATAATAAATTGAAAATAAATGCTAATTTCATAATGAATGTATGTTTTTTAAAACGGAGAGATCTATGGGATCATCAATGGGATCATCTATGGGGTCAAATATATTCTGATACACGAAGAAATTTCATTATATTTAGAATAAATATAACTTAAATTCAATTTATTTCACTGCTTTTTTAACGACTAATAACAAATATATTTGATGTAATTATTTTTTAATTATATTTACTTTTGCTTCTATTACTAGTGCGAGGCTTTTAAAATCTTATTATCCTGTGACGCCTGGTCCCAAATTTTTCATATAATTACTTTATAGTCATTGGTCCAAAGACCAATTTATCAAAATAAATATATCTGAACATTTGAAATTCAACAATTAGAATATATTTTAAAGCACATCACAAGATATGTGTTAAGATTTTAAAATTAGCCTCAGGTGAAAGCAAAAGATAATGTAATTAAAAAATAATTCCGTCAAATGTTTTTTTTATTAATTGATAAATAAAACGTTGAAATTGTATTTGAGTTATAATTATTCATTCTATAAATATACTAAAATTTTTTTCATATCCCAGATATATCATATTTATCACTGCGTTTATCATATATGTCACTTTTATAATGAAGTTAATCTTCGATACCGCATAGAATATTTAGGAAAACACAATAGCAATAATTGAACCTGTTTATTAGCACCTCTGTTTGACTTACGATCGCTTTTATTTCGATCTTTTTTTAGGGGACAGAGAATAGGTCAAAAATGGGGTTGAGACGACGGCGTAACAAACTGAGCGGGACGTCCACGAGACAATTAGCTTAGATCCCGTGAAGAAGATGATGACTGCCATGGCCCGGCTGCCCTGCAAGCAATCGTCCTCGCCCTCGCAGCAGCCGAGAGTGAACAATTTCGGAAACAGCCGGAATCCGTACTGGGACATGCAGCAGGCCAGGCATCCCGCGCCGTCCTACGTCAGAAATCATCATCGACACATCGACCATACAGGTGAGAGCCTATGCGAATGCATTGCGAATCGCATCGCGAATCGATGCGTCAAGGCATCCTATTGACGCGCGCGCACTTGCCTAAGGAACAAAAAACAATAAATTTCTACGTATGCGTTTTTCGAATCGCTCCGAGTCCTTGACAGATGCGAGACGAATTTCCACCCATGGTGCATTCCCGCACCAGCGAATGACCGGCGAGCTTACGTCGGCAAAAGCGTGAAAGCGAAATGCAGTACGGTCGACGGTAGTTTCGAATTATCATGCGACTGCGAATTACCTCGAGATTGTTTTATTTGGCGAAAAATCCAACGTCGCTGCTTCCGCCTTCGGTTTTTAACGTTTTATATCCATTATCGACGTTGAACGATACGCTTTTCGCTTATCTCAGTTGCTGGATTTACGCTGGAGTTCCGTCCCGATGAGAAATTATCCGTTCCATTTTTCGGCTTTACGACAATTCGGATTATCTTCGTCATTAACGTCCCATTGTGCGCGGCCGTGTCACGTCCGATTAAGGACAAACGCCGATATTCCGATAGCCTCGTTTCGACAATTTATCATATAGCGAACGCAATGCCGTCATTCGATCTAACAAATTCAACGTTGCGATAACACGTGTATCGCAATACGCTTCGCGATAATGATCTCTCAAAGATTGATATTAATTTTCCCTCATCTCGTCGCTTTCTTTTTTAACAAATAAGGAAGCGCCTGAGAGATATTAGCTATTCCACAAATATTTGCGAGAAAGTAATTAAAAAAAAAAAAAAATACAAGAAGTTATCGTTCCTGTCTAAATCAAATGTCTAAATCAAATGTCTAAACTTGATGAAAAATGGATAGATGGCTAAATTATGCTATATAAATATTTATATATGTACCGATAAGCTCTAGACACAATTGTAGCTGTAATTACATGGGTAAACTTATAAATTTTTCATAATGGGGTTAAGAATAATTCTCTTTTTCGCTCGGAACTAACAAGAAGTTAATGAAGAGATAGTCGTGCCACATGATGAACGAACATCAAAGATAGAAAGTCCATCAGGTTTTTAGCCTTCTGGTCGATTTCGCCATGTGTTACGATACAATATGTGGCCTTGACGTTTGCCTCTGTCGTCCCGGCCATTATCGCGGTCGGTGGTTGCTTCTCTGGGGAAAAGAGTTTTATCTCTGGCTGGTGTTCCCCGCGGGGACATATGCGTGTCGGACGACGGGCACATGTCGTCAATCAGTCGGCAGCGCGAAAACAGAAGGAGAACAGATGAGAGAACGCGTGCAGATGCTGCCGACTTCGTCGACGTTGCTCGTCCGTCGTTAACACTTGCCCTCCGCCACTTGGCTGGCACACACAATCGTAGAAGCCACTTGCCTCTGTTCGAGATATATGTACGTGCACGTGCATCATCGGGCGATGACGCGATCGAGTGATGCCGGCAGATCTGAGCACGCCGAGCACGCCGAGCATGCCGAGCACGCAGATCGGTCTTTAATACGAAAAGAACCGCCAAGAATTGGGTGAAACGACTGATAACGAAGAGGTCGTCGATTAAATCGCCGTTGATTAAACCAAACATAAACTGGCTTTAATAGCGAGCACCTTTCGCGCGGATGTTGCTTCCTACATATCCGGGAATATCCGGTTTGCGGATCTACGCGCGGAACAAGATTATCGTCAAATTGCCAATTAGTATAAGTAAGATTATATATATATGTATATATACGAAAGCCGCTCTAATTGGCGGCGAGACTCTATTTCGTATGCGACAGCCATTCCACATTAACATTTCATCACGTTTCTTAATAAACCGCCTCGCGCGCGGATTGAATATTAAACAGCTATCTTTTTTGCGCTCGCGTAATTATTCGAAACAATGACATACCATATCGGCCACCACTCGGATCGGTAGATTTTTACGCGCGCGTCTCGGAATTCTCTGTGCGCCCTCGTTTTCTCTTTAGAAACAAATTTCTAAATAAATGGAAAAAAAAACATGTATAAATAAACGGTGATAACGAGTTTTGCGGAATAAACGACGAATTGGCATGGAATACCCGTTAGTAAAATGAAATAAGCTTTGAATAAACTGATGCGTCACACGCAAATACGCGTATTATATCTTTATGAAACGCGACACTTCCGGGACATTCGATAAGCTTAACATAAATATCAGAGATCAAAAATTCCCTGTTGGGAGCTAATATCCTAAAGAGCCGGCTTCTATAAATTTCGCGACTAGATAGATAGCTAGATCCCGCACGTGGTTCAACTAGATAGACCGGGTGTCTGATCCGAAAGCGATATTTCCTTCCAGAAAGCGGATTATTTACGCTCGCTTATGGTCTCTCATCGTGTTTTTATTTTCGCCACGTGCGTGCCGCAGGGAAGCGGAAGAGCGCCGTAGAGCTGCTGCAGGAGACGAAAGCCTTCTACGTGAAGAGCGAGACCGTGCTAGACCGGAAGCAAGAACTGAAGAACAGCGGCCACTTGCAGGTCTCGCAATTGAGCGCGCCCGGCGCACCGCCTCCCAGATTGCTGCGGAAATGCACCGGCAACTCGTCCGTCTGTTCTATGCAACCGACGTCGCCGTCGCAGTTGCAGCCGACTCCCTTGACGCCGCCCTGCTGCTGGGCCTCGTGTCACGAACAGGACAGACGTAAGTCTCCCGAGGGATCTCGCGAGCTCGAAAAGGCACCGAGGATAATTCCAGCAAAAGCTGGCCGAAAAGGCATGCGAAATCCTATCCCTTTTTGAGAGAGGAGACTGGGAATCCAGCTGGAATCGCCTTTGGTGCAGTTTCGAACATTTTATATATTTTCATTAATCACGCCTTTTTTCGTATAAAATAACGCAAATCGTAAGGTCGTTGCTATTTTGCAGTAGACGGAATTCTGAGTCCTCAACAAACACTGCCACCCGCGCTGCCACCGAAGAGTCCACGTTTGGTTCCGGTTCCCCAAAGACGGACGATCTCGGGTCCCCCGAGCGGTACTGGGGGCGAGCTGCAAACGAAGCTGCGCCGGCTGTTGAACACCGATAGCAAGGAGAACGTGTTCTTTCCGGACAGTCCGCCGCAGAGCACGGCGCAGAACAACGGGATACCGACGCGGGAAGAGAAATTCCGATACTCGCCCGGAAGCCTCTCGCCTGGCTGTCGGGACGAAGTTCTGGTGAGAAGGCAATCGCGACATATCGATCTATCGATAATACCACCGCGCTGCTAAACCGCCACTCATCTTTCCCATAATCGTGCGCTATTTTAAGCTCCGCGATGCATTCCAGCGTACACACGAGCACACATTCACATTTTTTTGCCAAGAAAGCTCATATACGCGTTCATCAATGAACACTGCATCGATCGTATCGTCACACGTTGCATTATTCGTGTTGCAGCATTGTGCGCCGCAAGACATCCGCTTCAAGTTCGGCAGAAGCAACTCGCATTCGCATACTTCCGGTAGATCCGGTCGGAAGTCGAACAGCTCCCAGTCGGTGGAGAATACGATATGCCACAAGTCATTACCGGATCTTCACACGAGCACGCGTCGCCGGGCATCACTCTCGCCGCGCGCGTCTACGAAATTACCTGCGAAGCCGTCTGCCCATCATCAAGCTACGAACATAAGCAATTGCCCGGACTACGAAACTAGTTCAGATTATTCGGATCACAGTTTTAAGCGTGACGCCGTTTGTTATCGCAGGTAAGTGATTCGGATCGAGTTATCGCCATTCGATATAAATTGCCAAGTACATTGTATCTAATTTTACAATGATTTTGTTAACCGACTCCACGTGAAAGCGTGATTAATCGCTGTATTTTTTAATTGTCGTTTTAGTTCCCGCCACATCAGGCGATCTCTGGGATCTGGTGGTGGTGACGCGAGTAGCGTATTATCCTCCGGTGGACGAACGCAGAAATCATCGGGTTCTAGCAAGTTGAGCCACGGCGCGACAGCCCGAGACTCCGGTGGCTCTTCCGGACACTGTACTCATCGCAGTGAACCAGCACCCAGGATACAGGTACAAACGATGGAAACGTACATTCGATGGAAAATATATATTTTAAACATAAGATCGTTTGACTTTAATCATCGCTTCCTTGCGCAGGATTGCTGGACTCATATACGTAGAGATAGTGGCGCGTCTACGCAACATTCTACCGAGAAAGACCGCTCGAGGAAAAGTAGTTACGTCAGCGGGACACCGCCGTCCGTTGTACGACATTATAGTCCAGAATCTGAAAGCAGCAATAGTCAAACGGATTACAGCCCGACCTGTAACTCGAGGTATTTGAGATGTCCTCCGCTTTTAATTATCTGAAAACGCTTGCTAAATAAAGACTATCATTCATTCAAAAAAAAATTAACGATATAACATTGTTTGTTATAATATGATTATGTTAGGTTTTCCGATGGCTGGAAGGAAGGTCGCGGCCGACCGATTTTACGATCGAAATCAGATATCAGCGATCGATACTGGCGTCAGGATAACGGCCGTTCAAGTAAAGTATCCTCTCGCCCGCCACGATCGATGACTCAGCTCGAGAACTTTTTCGATCGTCTAGGATTGGACTCGGATAACTACCAACGTATAACGGAACCCGATTCCAAGTCGTCGTCGCCCATATTCTTTGACAGCGTTAGCTCCGTAGATTCGGCATTAGGTCTCTACTCTTGGGTCGGCACTAATCAGACGAATCAGGGTAGCCAGTGGCAAAACAACTGCAGCATTGGTATGGGTAACGACGAGTGCAACCAAAGGGTAAATGATCCGCCGAGTATCGTCGAGCGAAATGCGCGTATTATCAAATGGCTTTGCCAATGCCGCAAAGTGCAGTTAGGATACAGTTAAACAACGAGTTTCTCAATGTGAATAAATCCCTTATTTCCAATAACAATACATTCAAATCAACGATGTGGTAGTGTTGGTCATTCTACAAACAGTATATCAGACACTCCGCAGAAATTCCAAACTCAATATATTTCTCGTAAATGTGGAATTGATTGTCGCCTTTCTTCTTCCTTTTTACACTTACATAATATTGAATCATTTAAATATTTTTATTAATCCTGTGTTAGCTGTCTATAAACTTATAATAAATGTCCTTTTAATTTATTGCGATAACAATAGATAAATCTGTGCCATTTTATAATTACTTGTTACGGTTCTATAGTGTGCCTTTCATCAAAATATTGTTATGCATTCAGGGTAAAAGAAAGAAGTCTTGAAAAATATATTTCGTGATATCACGTTAATTTGTATATTAAAATTTATATTAAACAATTTTGATGTCTAATATTTTTGAAGGCACACACATTAAAAATTGTTTATATTTAATATTATTAATTTTGTAATAAATCTATGATATGTTACGCGAATATTTTTCCTATTTAGCGAAGCAATATTAGATTATTACAAAATAGTAAAGTCATGCATAAGAAATATGGAATTTCTTACATTTTGATGTTAAATTGTATAAATTTAGCGATGTTTGTGTGTTTCTCATTTTCAATTTTGAGAATGATTATTTGATTTGTAGAGAGAAAGCACTCAGACGAAAGATATTTATCTCGACTTTATGAAAACTTATAGATCTAATTTCATAAAAAAAATTAAAAAATGTTGCCTTTACTCTTGTTGGTTTCTAAAAACCACATATATTTAAAGAGAAATAAGCGTTCAATTGATGTTAATATTCGACGAAATTTAAAAGATGATTGATGAGTTACAAATAGCTTGGTGTTAAACAATAGATGAAAATATGATTCCAATTTTGTAGTTTAGTCGGAATTGATGTGATTTATATTAATATTGTATAAAATAAAAACGCGCTCGTTATCATCATTCTATTTTAATAATAATCTACAAAGATTTGCATAGATAGCTCTTCACTATATTAGTCTTCATTCTCATCAATTTTTATTTAATATCGTACAACATAAATCATATAAATAAAATCATAGAAAATATAGTGAACATATATTTTCTAAATTTACTTGGATTGATCTGATAATATGCTATATTTACAAAGACTGCAACTGTACGAATGACATTAATTTAAATACATGTATCTTAATGCATCTTAAATTTTTATTTACCAGCTATTGTAGAGATTTATTATTGTACTTACAAGGAAATATGTAATGCAGAGACTTTGATAATTTGCAAAACAATTAATAATTTTTAATAATTTTAATTATACTTTATATTCCACGCCTTGTATTTCAAGAATTGAATATTTTATATATTTTAATAATGTAAAAATTAATTTCATATGGCAATTGTACTTATAGGTTCTCGAATATCTAAATTTCATTATTTTTGTATTTAATATTTAATTGCAATGTGAATATTGCAATACATATTTTGTATGATATTTCTCGCATTTCCACACGTGTATTTACACTATCCTTTCGATTGAATATAAAGTTATTTAATTATTAATGCAAAGTCGACTATAATTCACTTTTCTTTTATGAAGTTTCCATATTAGGATTTCCTAAATTTTCTGAATTAAATATAACTTTTCAAATAATGTTCTTCCGCGCTGTTTTTTTATTTACGTGAATAAGAAAGAGAATAAAAGGCAGAATATTTTTGCAGATGTATGCGTATGTGCTATTAGGATAAAAAAGTTGCAGACTGAGACAAAATTTTGTAATAAGGAAAACGTTTGAGCCTGATAACTTTATAAGAGTTCGACTTTACGGATATGAAGATTCTGCACTATTTATCTCTTATTTTTGTGTAAAACTTGTTTGTTTCTGTTATGCAATAACAGAAACTTTTTATTCGCATAATTCACGTAGAATTACAAGCTTTTTTTCTCGCTATTTAGTTATCTCGACTCTATGGCAATCAAATGGTAGTGTAAGAAATTTTGGATGTTCACGACGAGATATTACACTTACGTGATTCATATATTCTTATAACACGCGATTTTTGTGTAACATAAAATACAATTTATTCTCGAACTTCTCTAATTTCAAATGGTATAAATGTTTTAAATGTGTAATCGACAGTTTCATAACTAAAATATGATACAGCATTTAAAAGTAGAAAGAGAAGTTGATACTATTATCTATATAATAAAATCTTGTATTCTTTTTCAGCAGACAGTTTAAAGAATCCTTGTACAGAGGTGTCTCAGGCTTCTACAGACTACAAATATTAGAGGCCAAATTAAAATACTAAGTAGATTTGCTTCGCTGGCATTAATTTTACAAATAATCTAAAAATTATTTTGGTGATTTAAATTTTTGATTTCAATTTTAATCACCAAAATATTGAAAATTAAAAAATTATGCAAAGAAATGGCATTAAATTAACTTTAAAGTTGCCTAAAGAATCTAAAGTCAACAATAAATTCGCGTAGTGCCCGAGACACTATGTATAAGATATTAGATATACATTGGCGTAGCAGTAGTAATAACTAGCATTTGCTATACTTACAATCTTCGACGAGGATATATAAAGAATTTATAAAGTTTATAATCGCTGCTATAGTAGTCAATTGTAAAACGTTATGGCACAAAATTAAATATGTGACTAAAATATATGCTTGTAATATACATACATATATGCATACATACATACACACATACATATGTATGTATGTATGTATGTATATGTATGTATATTACATTTTTTAAGTTTTTGAATTGTTGTGTTATCATACGGTATTATTTTTCACGAAAAGAAGCATTTAGATGTAGCATCAGCTGTGTATTTATATACATTCTAGAATTAATATTATGTTGAAAATACTGGAATTGAATTCACAGGCAATGATACTGTGAGGATTAAGTTAGATTAATTAGAATTAGTTTCTGTATCAACTCGCATAATAAGTTCCATGATATGCCTGCTTCATAAACCGTTATTATTTTTAATTTTACGCAGGATAATAAGAACATTTAATAAGAACAATAAAATTATGTACAGCTAAATTTCGCTTCGTGTCAGTGCGTAATATAGCGATATAATATACTAAACGATTAGATATTTATACAATTGTTCATAATATCGCGTTGAGTATTAAGTAATTGATTGAAAAAGAAACAGTTACAGTTCTCTTTGTATATTTTTCAATGTTTGCGGCTACGCGTGTTTTTATGTAAAGATTAGTCATCTAATTTTGTAATTTGTCTTAGATAGTATTTTGCTTTGTTATTTACAGAATATATTTTACGAATTGTTGTAGTTTCTTATAAAATGCAATTAGTATGTTCATATTTGTGAAGAATCTCAAAAATAAGAATATCAAAACAAGTCTAATTTATATATTATTAGAGACATAAAGAAAATTAAATAATAATTAAAGGAATTTGTATAAGATGAAATATTTAAATTTTGCCACAAGGTTTTTGATCTTTTTCAGACGTTTGTTACATTTAATGTTTGACAGACAGAGTGTTATAAATACGTAACAAATTATTGTAGAAATTTGTTACATATTATTATAGAAATTATTTTATATTTTGTCGTATGCAGAGGCTTAAGTATTTTTTATATGTGTAAGAACAAGATGAATTGAATTCTTTCTGCAAGAAAGATAAGAATGCGCACTTACATTATAAAATTTCAATATATCTATATAACATTTTTTGTGATGCATAATATTTAATATTGTTAAATCCATAAATTTTTAATTGCTTTTATAATCTAGTCATGTAGAACAAAATATGTTAAAAACAACTTTAAGATAATATTATTAAATTCCTTCTATATATCACCACATCTTTTATTTATCACCTCAATATTTCCTCCAATATGTTATGTGAATTTGTAGAATAAGTTTTGTATTGTCATCTTTCAATTTTCAATATTAAATATTTCAGTGAGATAATAAATACTGTAAATGGTAAATTTTTATAAAAATTAAAGATTTTATTAAAATTAATGGCTTGTAACATGCAATTTTGACATTAAGAGAAATCAGTAAAAAATATCTTGATACTAATATCAATAATTAATTCTAATTCTTGATGAAAAGCAAAAAGGCAAATAACAGATTTTATATATATATATATATATATATATATATATATATATATAGTATGTGTGTGTGTGTGTGTGTGTGCGCGTGTGTGTGTGTGTAATATTTGTAGTAAAAAAATGTAAATATTTTAAGAAATTCGATAAAATAAAAGAAAAATATAATCGGCAAGAAAGCTGCATTATTTGCAATAAAATTTTAAGAATTTCTAAGATTTTAAAACTTTGAATTTTAAATCACAAATACTAACAATCTTATAAATTGATGGAGAATAATAAATATTTGGAGAATAATAAATAGTAAAGAGATTGCATTCCTTAAGATTTCAAGAAATTTTTAAAATTTCCAAGAAATGTGATTTTGAGAATTTCTAAAATCTTAAATTTAAAACTTTAAATCGTGAAAATCAGATTTCTAGATAATAGATAAAATATTAAAATATAATATAAAAAACAAAGTGGAGCAAACATGATTCCACATTTCTATTTTAAAAATAAAAATTTTATTACTTTGTCTGCTGTTAATATTTTATAAATAGAATTACATCCAATATGCATTCGGCTAAAATGTGACAATATTATATCGGCCAAAATATTTCTTTTATATTTTATCATTAAATTGTGGAGCAGCATAATATAACCGAATCGGATCAATTCGGCCAACAATTACGCTGATAGCAATATGGCGTGAAAGAAAACGTCACAAATGGTAAATTTGCTCTCTATACAGTGTACATAGTTTATGGTCACGTTGTGCGTCTGAGGAGGCACTGTCATTGGAGTGGATGTCGGTAGTGATGTGGAACTTTGCAACGGTGAAAATATGACGAAAATAAATACGTTCACGAATGTTTCGTTTTTGTGTGTCGCAATTCTCCTCTGTGCAATATCGCAATGTCTAGCCGCCCTATCTGACAAACAATTATGTTACGACCCAAATTGTTCGGGTAATTGAAGCCATACTTTACCATACTTCGAAATCCATAACACATTTTTCCCTTCGCTTAGCCGCATTATGATTATTATGTTGTTTTTCGCTGTTATTTAGAACTCGTTTCGATGGCCAGGACTATTATTGCTTATAGTGCAAACGATCATGAGGTAATGTCGTTTGGTATCAATGCAGATGTCAAAGTTTTTAGTAAAGGCGCTGGGAAACGGACAGATTTATGGGGTGTCGAGGTACAGTTTATTATTTCTATGTGCTAAAAGTATTATTGCTTCTATCTTGATGTAACGTGTTCATTGCACATATTTTTAATATATTTTTTCAATATACCAATTTTCTTTATTCTAGATAAACGGTAAGCGTGGATTTGCACCCAAATCATTCCTAAAGGAATACAAAGTCTTAAAACGTGACTTGTTGTACGAAGTGCCTGTTTATAAATATAATAGTAAAATTAATAAACTTCAGTCAGAGAAACTTGAGTCGACAAAGCAAGAAAAAGATGAATTGGATACGTTGGAAGATGAATCTTCTAAAGATGATAATGAGATAGATTTGAAGTCTATAGATGAAAGTCCCTCAGAGAAATCTCATGCGATTAATGTAGATAGTATATCGCCTTCATATGAAGTAATAGATGGTACCACAGTTTATTTGGATAGCAATCCATCTGTACAACCTAGCTTTGTATCTGAGGCTACACATGCTACTGCATTGCCGAATGAAGTTTCAATGACTTCTGATTCTGAAATTAATATTGAAAAATTATCTGACAAGAATACAAGTATTGACAATGAATTACAGCCAAACACAAGCGATCTTACTGATAAACTTGAAAAAATTAAATTGTCAGTAGATACACAGAAACAAACAAGCTCCAACATATTGCTAGAGAAATCAGAAGCAATAATCAGTTCAAACAGTGAAGACGTTTCAAAGTTGAATGGAAACAGTTAAAATCCGAAGATAAACTTGAAAATATAGAAAAATTGGATAGCAGTATGGAGGAGAAAGTTGAAGATGAAAAGAAAGAGAAAGTTACCGAACATGTTGAAAGTGATGGTATATTTGCCTCTCTTACGAAAACATTTAAAATGTTGTCCAACTCGGAAGAAACTATAATGACAGAGAGCACTATTACTCAAAGTAGCGATGATACAACTGTTTCCGAAGCTGTTGACAGCAATCTGCAGTTAGAGAAACAAGCATCAGAAAAATTGAAGTTAAGGATAACATAATTGAAAATGTTCTTCCATTCATCCAAATAAATTTGGAGTCACACATAAATCCAAATCTTGTAGATATAGAAAAAGTAGAAATGCAGGAAGAAGTTGTACATGAGAATGTTGAGAGCGTAAAAAATGCAGATGAAGAGGGGAAAGAAGCCTCCATAATTCGTTCAGAAAACGCTATATCTTCTAGTGACGTGCCTTCATCCAATAATTTTGTACATGAAAATGCTGATAAACCTGCCAAAGAATTGCCAACATCATTTCTGGTTTCAACAGATGATAGTTCTGCTTCTGCAAAAGTTGACATTGAAAGTCATGTTGAAAATATTCAAATACAAGATACAAGCAAAATAGAGAAAGTTACAGAAAATATAAACACTGATAACAAAATTGCTTCTTATAAAGATGAATCAACAGTTTCATCTAATCAAGAAACTGCGACCACACAGACCATCACTATTTCAAGCAATGATGATATCGAGCAAAGATTATCGGAAAGTGATGAAACAGTAGAAAATACAAAGAAGAATGACTACAAAGAAACAATTGCCCAAACTGAAATCTTATCTCCTAATAAAATTTTAGAAACTGTTGATTTACTATCTGTTAAGGAAACAGAGAATGTTACGACAGAATCATTCCATGAGAGTCACTTTGATGATGAAAAAATAGCAATTACAAAAGAGGCATTAAATCATAGCGCTGCAGATATTCAATTTAATAAAGAATCAATTGTACATAGTAATGTAAATAAGAATAATTATTTAGTCAATGATACTAGCTCAGACAATGTTCCTAAAAAACTAACGAATACTCGAACAGTGTAAAATCTAGCAATCTTGGGTCGGAACAATCTATAGATTCTAGTCAAAAGAGTACGATCTCGGAGCAAACAATGAGTCTTAATGAAATTCTCAAGAAATCAGTTTTGCCAAACGTTCATGAGAATTCGAAACATGGTAAGTTATCAATTAACAGAATTTAAAAAGTTTTAATTGTATAATACATTGTATGATGTAACAATTACATTTTATGTTTTTAGTCAAAAAACAACTTGACAATTCTATAAAGGAGGAAGGAACCTTACCTGAATATGATGATCACATAAGCAGTGAAGACAAAGTTTTGCATAAAGACGAAGATGAAAATAATAATTTGGAAAAACCAGAATCAACTGTACTAGATGAAGTAGAAAGTAATTGTTTTATTGATATTTAATAATATTAATTTTTTAAGTATAATTATAATATTTTTTACATTACAGATAAAATTCATTCGATCGATTATGAAAACAAAGTCGAGATAACAACTGAGTTTCTGAGTCAAGAAAGTTCTACAGATAAAATTTTGTTCGGTTGATCATGAATGTGAAGTTCAAACAACAACTGAGTTTCTGGATCAAGTAAGTTTTATGAAGAATTTTTATATATTAATTATTTACATATATTGTATCGTATATATAATAATTAAAATGTAATAATTTTTTTCCGAAATAGAAGAAAGATTTTGAAAATGGAGAAGATAATATGGTTGAAACAACAAAATTGGATTATTACTGGAAAACACTGATATATCTTTGCGTAACAGCCGTTGCAACACTTATATTTACTCTTGGATATTATTATATTGAGGTAAAATATTCTTTTATTTGAGAAAAGCATAAGTAAATCCATAATTAAGAAACATTATATTCTAAGCATTAAATCATATTTAAGTATAGTCTGAGTAATTATATTTATCTCTATTACTTAAACTATAATTAGTATATTAATACAGACTAATTATATATATATATTTTTTTTTAATCCAGAATACAAGAAGAGATGGACAACTTATAGCAAGAATTAATGAACTTGAGAAAAATTATTAGTCTCAACAAAAGAATGTGAAGTACTCAGTGAGAATCTTAAATCTATTAAAGACAAGGTGAATATAACAATTGTACAATTGATTCTTTGTGATTCTTTGTCATTTTTGCATATTTTCTTTTTTAATATCTATTTTAATATATTATTTATATTAGAATCTGTATGTATATGTGTTACATTGTATTAAACATAAAATATCTTAGTTGTGTTACATAGAAGATGAATCATTTGGTTCTAACGAAATGGTTGTATCGCTAAAAGCTGATTTAGAAATGTCCCAGGTATATACATAAATATTTTTTGCTTTAACATGTCCAAACAAATGAAAAATTATTTATCTGCTGTCATCTGCTGTCGTAGAACGCAAAAGCCGAATTGGAAGATCAAGTGGCTATGTTGGAGAGAGATTTGGAAAATGCGACAGAAGCTGGTTTAGAACTCGAGCGTATGCTAAGAGAAGTTTTGTCATCAAACAATGAAGTTAATCCGCTAGCTCAATCAGTGGAAGATCTACAAGCACGATTAAACGCTCAACAAGCCGCGAACGAATCCTTAACGAACGCGTTGAATCTTAAAACTCAAGAGGTAAGAGTAATTTATTCACAATGTATTATTTAGAAATAAGTTCTATTGTGTTTGATTTTTTTGGATTAGAGAAGTATTAATTTTTATGATACAATATGAATTTGATTGAACCTAAGATTAATTAATAATACTTTGTACATATCACATAATAAATGTTTTTTAAAGGCAATACTATATTTTTATGTTCTTTCTCACATACACTATCTAATATTTTACTTTTTTTGGTTATTTATTTATTATCTCACTAATTCTTTCTTAATAAGTAACTTGATTGATATAAATGATGAATTTATTGCAGATTGAAACTTTATCAATCGATCTTGTTTCTATTAAGAAAAAATGTGAGGAATTTGAAGTAGAATATTTGCGAATACAGGATGAATTGGCGGCAGAAAGAGACCTTAAGAATAATATAGAACAAACGCTAACAGATAAAATACACGGTTTGAAAGAACAAATAGATGAGGTAAGTTTGTACAATTATATATGTTAACTGAAATATATTTTATATATATAAAAACTAGGTTATATATTAAATAATTAATACATAAAGATATTTAATGTATGATTTAGTTATTAAGATATGTTTTTTCTTAGTTGTCTTCTGAAAAATCGTCGTTGTATAAGGAATTGAGAGGAAAAGAAATAGAAGTGAAAGAATTATTAGAAGTTATGAACCAAATCAAATCGAATAATTTGGATTTGGAAAAATTGTATGATGTATCTCATGTTAAAATTGAGGCAGTACAATTACGTGAAGAAAGAGACGAATTAAAGGCGCGATTAAGTGATGTTGAAGGTGCTCATCAATTATTAGAAGGTATTTTCTTAAAGATAAAGACATTGATTTTGAAATTTCTCTAACAATCGCATTTTTTTAACTAAATCTTATTATCAATATCTTACTTTTTTGTGTCGCAGAACATATGAAATTTGTTAAGGAAGAGATAACTGCGTTAAGTGATCAATGTAAAATAGCTGAAAAAGAAAAAAAGATGCAGAAACACGACTTGAAGTGTTATCAAAGTTTTTCCAAGAAAAAGAAACCGAACGCCAAAAGTAAGTAATAAACTTTATATTTAAAAATTATTTTATACTTAGACAGAGAGATTATATACTATAATTATTTTAGGGAAGAGGCCATTTGGTTGCAGAAACAAGGAGAAGTTGTATCAACAGTCGAAAGGCTACACACAATGCAAAATGAAATACAAAATTATAAGTAAGCACAATTACATTATTTAGTACATATTTATGAGGAAAATTTAATTTGTGAAAATTTATTGGACATTGAATATCTTTTAAATACTTTTGTGTGTCATGATTACGAAAATTTGTTTAATAAGTTTATGGATTGCAGTTAGTTTAGGAAATTGGATTTTTCAGGCAACAAATAGAAATGTTAAAACGAGAGATTATAGATCAGGAGAGAGAATACAAAAATCAAATATCCGCTCTAGAAACGAAAGCACATGAGCAATGGGTACGCAACATATAAAAGAATATATATAAAAAGAATATAACAGTGTGTGTGTGTGTGTGTGTGTGTGTGCGCGCGCGCGCGCGCGCGCGCGTGTGTGTACATATCGAAGAAATACATAAGCTTGTAATAAAACTCTTTATTTTATAAGGTTGCTGCCCGACAAAATGAGCGCCGTTTGGAAGAATCGAAAGCTGAAGCCAGTCAATTACGTAATCGTCTTACACTCGTAGAGAAAAACTTAAATGACACCGATCCCGAAGCAAAGCTACATCGTAAGTATTCCCATTAAAAATATTAATTATACAAAATATTAAGTATAATCCTTAGATTGAAGATTTTATCGTTGATCATTATTACATTAAGTCATTCTTTCTATAGAGACATATATACATACCCGTATCATTTTTTGTAATCGAATGATTTTTCATAAAAAACTTGTAGACCGTAACGTAATAATTACGTATAATAATTACGTAGAGTAAAATTAGTTAGTTCCTTAGCAAGTAATAATTAAAAATTCAATATAGTAATGTTATCTGAGATAATTGGCGTGTCGGAGATGTTCATCTACGGACGGTGAATCGCAAAATATCACATAACGGAACTATAAACTGTCTGTTTTCTAAACTGATTTCCAAACATACAGGCCTGGAAACGAATGGAGAAACGGCAACTTCGCCGCCACTGTTCATAGGAGCAGAATCATCCAATTCTCCCGTAATGTTTAGCGGTTCCTCAGGAATCCCACCACCCCCGCCACCCTCCTATTTGCATTGTTTCCCGCCGTATTTGCCGCCTTTGCCACCCGCCGCTGCTTCTGGTCTACCTCTGTATGATATCAGTCAACGTCCTCCGCCTCTCGGCGGCAGATTGTCATCACCTCCACCGATGCTGCCGCCGCCACCGCCGGCGTTACATCGTCCCCCCGTTTCCGGGGGTAGGTACGAGAACGCCGGTTCCCCACCACCACCTATGTCTCCGCCACATTTACTTCCACCATTTGATCATCATAGATCGCCACCGCCTCCGTTCGGTAGCGATCACATCCCACCCCTTCCTCCACCTGGCTCTATGTTACCTCCACCCCTCGGAACGACGCATCCCTGGGGTGAAGAATCACTGCCGCATCCGCGCAATTCTGGTTTCCATCCTCATCAACGAGAGCAACGTGTGCGCAATCATAAAGGTTTGTGGAAACAATACGACACAGAGTGACGACACGCACATCATCGGCATGTCATATAACGTTAGCTCGATCAGATCCACCTGATGTTAGATCCATCTGATGTTTTCTGTCTATTTTTCGGGAAGTTTATATATTTTTGTTGTTACTATTATGTACTTTCTTATTTTTGTGCATGCAAGGACGCAAACATTTCTCTAAAGTGAGACAATTTTGGAGTACTATGGAAGGAAATAATGCCAAATAGATGCCGTGTCAGGTTAAAGAGTTCAACGATTTTAATTTATTAATTTTGTTAATGACACATATGATGTATTTTTAATATATTTTTGATACTGTTTTATAATTCTTATTAATTAGTTGCTATTAAAATTTTTTTTTGCGAACTTTAAATAAGAGCAGACTATTTCGAGTTTTTTTATTTATCAATTTTTATATATTTAAAAAAAATGTATTTTCCCTTATCACCATGCATTTTAGATTATAATATAGAGCTATCTCTAAATTTTTTTACTTGCGTGTATCACAGAATAATTAAGGAATATTGAAAAAGATATATCTTTTTAAGTAAACATTAATCGTTTTAGGTTCCTTACATTCTTCGGGAGAATCACTGGATAAGGCGCATCATGGAAAAGTCTAAGTTTTATATCTTGTTATTCAACATCGTTGTACAAAGGCCAAATCACTGTATCAGTGACAATTCTCATTGTATTACACTTATAAATAAATATGTAATGATGATGAAAACTTTATGTCAAACATTAATAGAGCAAACGTATCAATATATCTATCATACAGGGATTCATTAAACGGTCATCATCTATGTTGTTGTTATTATATCTGTGATTATTATAGATATATAATATTATAGATATATAATATTATAGATATATAATAGACTGTTTCCTATTGCTTTCGTTAAAAAGAGCAAGCTTCAATCAATTATCTGACAAATAATGATTTCTTTTTTTATTTCATGATCCTAGGAATATAGCGAGTTACCTGTAAAACTTGAAAATAAAAATATTTTTATACGTTTTGACTATAAACGAAAGAAACGAAAGAAACATGGAACATTTGTAATTAAGTTATGTATTTCTGGTAATGATATATGTCATATTCAGTTCGATTCATATATAGCAAGAACATTGTAATAAAATTCTTATAATCAATGTAGAATATAAAATATATAATTGTTATATATGGTTTTAAAAATTGAAATAAATTGTAATTTATATATTATGATAGGCTGTGTTATTAGAGTTATTATAGATTTAATTATATAATTTTAGTTATAATGAAGAGAAAAATTGTTTTGTTTTTAAAATAATGAAAATGAAATATTAAGAACGTACAAGTCAATTTATGTGGTATAAGTCTATAAATTATTTTTATTTCGGCTAATCCTTGTAAAACAATTCGTAATTTATTCGTAACTTACTTGTAAAATTGTCCCACAAAATGGAAATAATGCATTTATTATCTATAGAAATATTTTCTTTTTTTACATTTTATACTCAGCGAAATGCGAGATGTACAAGTAATGCAATATTTGAATACTTACAATAGTATTTAAATGTACTTACAATATTCACAATTCAGGAAAAAGGGTGAGGAATGCGCGCAATATCTTTCATTTTAGCTTGTATGTATGTCGCAACTTTGTAAAAATCGTTTTGTCTCGAAAGTATTTCTTATATCACAAATAGTGGATATGGATGATAACATGTAATGATATTATAAATATAATTATCAGTAATGTTATGCTAAAAACACTACGAAAAATATAAAGAAAAATATCAGGACCGCGAATATCTTTATCATTAGCCATCTATTGCTTGTAACAGACTGAAAATATTTCAATATTTCAGTGTGCGCGGCTTCCACGTTTAGCTCAGTATCTTCTATATTGCTATCTATCCTATAAATGAATTATATTACGAGATTAGAAATTTAGATTTGCGAAGTATGTCGATAATGGTAAAACATTTTTTAAAACAACTTTGTTTTTTTACTATTTATTGTATCTTCCTACCTTTCAACCATTTCTTCTTGTTCCTTAACCATATGTGCCAATTGCTGAAAAATACCGCCTAATTCGACTATAGTAGATTCTATGTTTTGCATGGTCTCAGCTCTCGATTGCACATACGCATCCTGTAAGAAACAAATACATCTAATTTCCATTATATTAAATTACTTGACATTTACCCTGTCTACTACTACTTACAGTATCATCTTGTTGTATAATTTGTTGTTGTAGTTGTTGATTCATGGCAGGTTCAAGGTCTATCGCAACAGAATTGCTAGAAATCTCTTCCTGTAGCAATAAAGAACCTTGTCTTCCAGCAACAACACTTGGGGGGAGCATAGTGGATAGAGAGCCTTGAGTAAATTGCTGTCGTCTACTATGTTCCTCTCTCATATTCTGCATGTACCAAACAATTTATATATTATCATTATTATTATTATCAAATATACTTATTATTAGTTATTTAATTTCTCATATTTATATTGTAATTCTATTAATATCAAATTTATTATGTATCAACATTGTTAAAATTAAACAAACATAATTTATTAAATAAATATGTAACATACTTTTGCAAAATAGAAATTAATACACTGAAATAATCGCAAAAATAATTTTTTAATATATATAAAAAAAGAATGTTATTTCTGATTACATACCTCAGAGCGAACTTCTAAAACGCTTTTGAAATGATTAGACATGTTGGCCAATTTGGATTGCAAAGCCATCACAATTGAAGAAGAATGGGAGGCGATATGATGACTCTGGGAGGAACCATAACTTTCTCGTTGACTCTTTCCTAGCTCTTGCAGTTTCCCAATTTGAACATTCAAGCTTTTTAGGTCCGTTTTTATGATATTTGTAAGTTCCTCGATCTCTATTTGCCTATCGTTAAATATGGATTTTTTCTTGGCCACTGTAATATGTATCATTGATTATATGGAACACTCATATGTTCATTATATTATTAGAGTTAGTTATTCCTACTATTTTTATACAGTTATGCATATTGTATCTTATATAGTAAAAGTGACTATCAATAATAATCTTAATGTTTCTGATGCAATTATTTCATGGTCTTTCAACAGTTTTTTATTAATTTCCACATGGATCTACACAAAAAGATCCAAATGACAATTAATGTTCATTACAAAAAAAAAGTAATTCGGAATATCCCTACTTCTATATACAACATATTGTAACCTAAGCTAAATTCATAGATAAGGTAAACTCGGAGTCTTACATAGAGCAAGTTTTTCCAGCTTAGCATACGTGCTGGCAATGTTCTTGCCAATGTTCTTAGCTATCATCATGAAGTTCGAGTAACTCTGTATCTGACGTGCACGTCGCGGATTTTGCAGGTTCGCGGCGGTTCGCGCCACCGTCCTGCTCTGCATGGAGCGGATCGCATTGGTGAACTCGTTGGTTCTGTCGCGGGACGTCATCGCCGTCGTCGTCGTCGTCGTCGTCGTCGTTGTCGTCGTCGATTGCTCGTCTGCCAGGTTGGCAATTTCCTCGCTCAACAATCCGCCGCTCGCCTCGTCTCCATCGTAATGGTACCGCGAGCTGCTCGAGCTCGCGGTCACAAGGTTGCGATTCACCACAGGCCCTACGACGTGACGTCTGCGTGCTGACATCGCAGCATCCTCTCAACTTTCTCCACGTGCGCGCGTGTCCCGAGGGCCTCGACCACCACCAAGTCCGGTAACGTCAACAGATTGCAACGGCGGCGGCAGCAACGATGACGGTGGCGGCGGCAGCAACGACGACGGTGGCGGCGACAGCAACGACGACGATGACAACGGCGGAGTCCACGTCCGCAGTGCTGCCAGAAATGAGCCACTGCAATATGAGGAGGAGCCGTTGGCGGGGTGCAAGGGGAAGCATTAAAAGACAGAGGCACGTATTGTGCCATACACTACCCGCCAATGATCGCAGGGTATCCTGCAATAGTCCCTGACTTATCGGCCCGATTCATCCGTAAGATCGATGAGATCGATAATAATGAACGCATATCAAAAGGGAGGAATACATTGGCAATAATATAGAATAATAAGAAAAATAATAAATAACACTGATTCTTTTCATTTGTTCCATTTTTTTTTCTTTTTCTAATTTAAAATGTATGAATTATATCTTTGTCATATTGTGACGTACGTTCATATCGGTCTTTATATTTATCTATATAAATTATATATATATATATATATATATATATATATTTCGTAATCTTGTATTTTAGTAAAATAAAGAAAACATAATATAATATAATA